GTAGACTTAGAATTCTATATCAGACAAAAATATCCTCCAGGATGATGGGGAAATTAAGACATTGTCAAATGAAAAAAAAAAAAAAAACCTAACAGAATTTGTCACCAGCAGATCCACTCTGTAAGAATGGCTAAAGGAAGATCTTGAAACAGAAAGGAAATGATAAAAAAAATTTTTTTAAAAAAGGAATCTTAGAACATCAGGAAGAAAGAACAATGGAAAGAGTAAAAATATTGGTAAATACAAATAATGTCCTATTTTCTTTTGAGTTTTCTAAACTCACAATTGTTGACAATTAAAGGAAAAATTAAAACACTGTTTGATGTGACTCTGAATGTATGCAGAGAAAATATTAAAGAAATTTATATTATAAATGAGAAAGCATAAAAGTTCTTAAAAGGACTACACTTCACTCAAATTCATAAAATATAGATACTAGTAGACTTTGATTAAGTTATGTATTTGCAATGTAATACCTACAGCAGCCACTAAAAAAAATCTATACAAAGAGATATACTCAAAAAAACTATAGATAAATCAAAATGGGATTCTAAGATATGTTCATGTAATCCACAGGAAAACAGGAAAAAGAAAGAAAAAGAAACAAACATCTGAGGGAAAAACAGAAGACAAAAAATAAAATGTTTAAGCCATAACATATCAATAATTTCATCAAATGAAATGGTTAAATACACCAATTAAAAGACAGATTGTCAGAGTGGATAGAAACATATGACCCAACTAACTGCATGCTATCTACAAGGAACTCACTTCAAATACAGCAGTACAGGTGGGTTGAAGATAAAAGAACAACAACAAAAAATTATTATGGATTTAATTGTGTCCCCCCAGAAAGAGTGATGAAGTTACTTCCAAAAGTACATGGAAAGATTTGTATTATCTTTTAATTCTATTTTTCCATGCACATTTTGAAGTATCCTCGTATTGTTGTCCTAACCCTTGGTATTTGGAAATAAGGTCTTTTCAGACTTCAACTTTAAGATTTAAGACATAAGATATAAGATACTTTTAAAGTAGGGTAGGCCCTTTATTGAATATGACTGGTATCCTTTTAAGAAGAAAAGAGAAACAGAGAGACATACAGATAGGAGAATGCCATGTGAAAACACAGACACAGAGGGAAGATGGCCATGTGACAATAAAGGTAGATTGGAGTTATGCAACTGTAAACCAGGGAATACCAAGGACTGCCAGCATTCATGAGAAGCTAGAAGAGATAGCGTGGCCCTGCCGATAACCTGATTTTGGGTTTCTAGCCTCCATAACTACAAAAGAATAAATTTCTGTTGTTCTTTTTTTTTTTTTTCATGACCGGTAATGGGATCGCAACCCTCGGTGTCGCGCCTGTACCACAACCGGCAATGGGATCGCAACCCCCGGTGTCGCGCCCACACTGCACTCAGCCAGTGAGCGGACCGGTCTCTATATGGGATCCAAACCCTCGGCGGGAGCACCGCAGTGCTCCCAAGCGCCGCACTCAACCGAGTGCGCCACCGGGCCGGCCCCAATTTCTGTTGTTCTAAGCCACCCCATTTGTGGTGGTTTATTTTTCATTTTTATTTTTCTAAAGATGACCGGTAAGGGGATCTTAACCCTTTACTTGGTGCCGTCTGCACCATGCTAACCCAGTGAGCTAAACCGGCCATCTCTATATGGGATCTGAACCTGTGGCCTTGGTGTTATCAGCACCACACTCTCCCAAGTGAGCCACAGGCCAGCCCCATTTGTTGTGGTTTCTAATAGCCCTAGCAAACTAAAGCAAATATGTAACATTTTTAATGTTACATTAATGTAACATTAATATAAATATTAATCAAAAAAGGCATGAATGGCTGGGTATATTCATATAAGATAAAGTAGACCTCAAGGGAAATAAAATTACCAGGGATGTTACACAATGTCTTAGTTAGCTCAGGCTGCTACAACAAAATACTACAGACTAGGTGGCTTAAACAACAAACATTTATTTCTTATAGGTCTGGAGGCTGAGAAGTCTAAGATTAAAGTGCCAACAGATCCAGTGTCTGGTGAGGGCTCTCTTCCTACTTTGCAGATGGCAGCTTTCTTGTGTCTTCTCATAGCTGAGAGAGAATGGGTTGTGGTCTCTTCTTCTTCTTATAAGGGCACTAATTCCACATGGGGGCTCCACCCTCATGGCCTCATCTAAACCTGATTAATCCCAAAGGCCCCACCTCCTCATGCCATTATATTGGGGGTTAGGATTTCAACACATAAATTGGAGGGGGGCACAAAAATTACATCCATAACACATAATGATAAAAGGATCGATTCACCAAGAAGACAGCAATCCTAAACATGTATGCAGCAAACAGTGAAGCTGCAAAATACATGAAGCAATAGTTGATGGTACTAAAAGGAGAAACAGTTTAATCCACAATTGCAGTTGCAGACTTCAATACTCCTCTCTCAACAATTGTTAGAATAACTAGACAAATCTCAACAAATTTAAAAAACTGAAATTATACACATTATGTTCTCTGAACACAATGAATTCAAACCAGAAATGAATAACAGAAAGACAACAAGAAAATCTCCAAACACTTGGAAACTAACAATACAATTCTAAATAATCCATGAGTCAAAGACAGTCTTGAGGAAATAAAAAATTACACTAAATTGAATGAAAATGAAAAATACCAAAATTTTGCAGCCAAAGCTGTGGTGAGAAGAACATTTATCTCAATAAAGGCTTACATTAGAAAAGAAAATTCTCAAGTCATTAAGATACCACCTCAAGAAACTAGAAAAAGAAGAGCAAAATAAACCCAAAGCAAGCAGAAGGAAGAAAATAACACATATAAGCTTAGAAAGCAATGAAATTTTAAAAGGAAAAATAGAGAAAAATTGATAAAATTAAAGACAGAATCAATAAAAAAATTAACAAAATTTACAAACATCTAACAAGACTGACACACAAAAAGAGAAAACACAAATTTCCAATATGAGGAATGAAACAGGAGATACAACTATACACCTTGCAGACATTAAAAGGATGATAAAGGAACATTACTGCTACGGACTGAGTTGTATCCTCCAAAAATTCGTATGTTGAAGCCCTAACCTCCACTGTGGCTGTGTTCAGAGATAGCACTTTTAAGAGGTAATGAAGATAAAACAAGGTCATATGGGTGCAATCCTAATCCAACAAGAAAGAGGAAAAGAGAGTGATCTCTCTCTCTCCACAGGCAAGCAGGCACTAAGGAAAGGCCATTTAAGCACAGAGTGACAAGGCAGCTGTCTACAAGCCAGAAAGAGGGCCCTCAGCAGAACCTGACCATGCTAGCACCCTGGTCTCTTACTTCCAGATTCCAGAACGGTGTCAAAATAAAATTTCGGCTGTTTAATCCACCCAGTCTATGGTACTTTGTTATGGCAGCCCAAGCACACTAAGATAAGCATGAACAACTCTACACACATAAATTTGACAACTTACATGAAAGAATCCAATGCCTCAAAAAACACAAACTACCAAAACTCTGTCCATATTAAATAGACAATGTGAATAGTCCTACAACTATTAAAGAAATTGAATTTGTAATTTTAAATCTTCCAAAAAAGAAATCTCTAGGCCTAGATGGTTTCTCTGGAGAATTCTACCAAATATTTAAAGAATTAACATCTATTCTACACAGTCTTTTCCAGAAAACAGAAGACAAGGGAATTCTTCCCGATTTATTCTATGAGTTCCCTGATACAAAAATTGGACAAAGACAGTATAGAAAAGGAACCACAAATTATACACACTCCCTGGCAGAATAATCAATATAAAGGAACACATTCAGGCCGAGCCTGTGGCGCACTCGGGAGAGTGCGGCGCTGGGAGCGCAGCGGCGCTCCCGCCGCAGGTTCGGATCCTATATAAGGATGGCTGGTGCGCTCACTGGCTGAGCGCAGTGTGGGCGACACCACGCCAAGGGTTGCATCCCCTTACCGGTCACAAAAAAAAAAAAGGACAAAAAATAAAAAAAAAAATAAAAAAAAAATAAAGGAACACATTCCAACTCATTTTATGAGGCCATTATTACCTAGATACCAAATCAAAACAGTGCCAAAAAAGAAAAGGAAAAAAAGAGCAATATTTCTCATGAATATGATACAAAATCCTTAACAAAATATTAGCAAACACAAATATAAAAAGAAGTATATGCCACGACCAAGTGGAGTTTATTCCAAGGATTCAAGTCTGGTTCAGTATTCAAAAATCAATCAATGTAATCTACCATATCAACAGGCTTCTTAAAGAAGTAAAGTCATATGATCAAGTCAATTGATTCAGAAAAAGCATTTAATAAAATGCAACGCCTGTTTATGATAAAACCTCAAGCTACTGAAGACACTGTTCTGTCACCATCCATATGAAGATCTATCAAAACTTTTCTCAGACACCAAGAACCGGGAAATCTTTTTTTTTTTTTTTTTTTTTTTTGTCTTTTTTCATGTCCGGCAACGGATCGCAACCCTCAGTGTCACGCCCACACCGGACCGGGACCGGCAACAGGACCGCAACCCTCGGTGTTGCCCCCACACCTCGCTCAGCCAGTGAGCGGGAACCGGTCTGTATGTGGGATCCGAACCCTCGGCGGGAGCGCCACCGCGCTCCCAAGCGGCACACTGTAGCAGTGCGCCACCGGGCCGGCCCGAGGAAATCTTTACCACAGATGAAGTAAATCACTTGTTAATAATATAAACCATGTACCCAATTTCCATTATAGGCATGTCTGTCAGGAAGATCAGAGACAGTTTAACAGTTCAAAGTTCATTACTGTGTTAGACCGCATGACTCACAGATATCTATATTCCAAACTTGGCTTGGAGTTGACAGTCTCTACTTTCTCTGGTCTTAGTTTTTATTTATCTATAGTTGTCAATCTTACTATATGGATTGCTAGATGTCTCCTAAAATCTACTAGGAAATAAAAGAAAGCAACAAATAATTAGACAAACAAGTAAGAACTCACCAGGGACTTGGTCATTTTTCGTTCTTCTGGGAAAGAGGCAGAGACCTGGGAAAACAGATGGGCAGAGGTACAGATGTGAGAAAGAAGTGTGCCAATGTCACACATGGACATCATTTAGTGTACATGCACCGCTGACCCAAAAATTTGTTTCTAGAACTACATCATTAAAAAATCATCCCATGGCCTGGCCAGTTAGCTCAGTTGGTTAGAGAGTGGTGCTGATAACACCAAGGTCAAGGGTTCAGATCCCTGAACCGGCCAGCTGCCAAAAACAAAAACAAGGAAGCAAAAAAAACATAATTTCATACTGCACAAAGATTTAAATGCAGAAATTTTACCACAATATGGCTAATAACAAAGAAGGGCTAGAAACATCGTGATACCCAATAATTGTGGATTGGTTAAATACTTTATAGAACATCCAAAGGACATAACGTTATATAAAATAAGAATACTATAGAAAAACATGCTAAAATGCCAAATAAAGATAAAAAGATATACCAAACAGTCTGATTCCATTTCCATTATACTATATATGCTATGCATACAGTATCTGTACATGCACATGCACACATACATGCATGTATACACACATAAATGCATCCCCACATACATAGAGAATATTATCCGAAAGGAAATACACTGACATGTTACCATATAATATTTGGGTGATGGTAAAATTATAGGTTATTTTAATGTTCACATTCTTTTTATTTGCTAGTATAAAACAAAATAACTTTTAAAGAATATATTGTCCTCTCAATGATTTTACTCTGAGCTTCTGTGACCAGACCATCCCAAATAGTGAGAACATCCACAAGACAGACTAAAAAAGGGAGCTTTCTTTTTTTTTGTGACCGGGAAGGGGATCATAACCCTTAGTCTGGTGTCGCCCGCACCGCACTCAGCCAGTGAGTGCACCGGCCATCCCTATATAGGATCCGAACCCGTGGCCTGGGCGCTCCCAGCGCCGCACTATCCCGAGTGAGCCACGGGGTCGGCCCCTTGTCTACAGTTTCTTAAAAGAGAACTTTCGATGGATCTTGGCTAAAATATAGTAAGTGGACCAGGTTTTAGTTTATAATAAACCTTAAGACCTAAGCCAAGTCACTTACTGACTGAGGCCATTTTTTTCCAATTTTTTATTTTTTTAAAAGATGACCGGTAAGGGGATCTTAACCCTTGACTTGGTGTTGTCAGCACCACGCTCAGCCAGTGAGCAAACCGGCCATCCCTATATGGGATCCGAACCCAGGGCCTTGGTGTTATCAGCACCGCACTCTCCCGAGTGAGCCACGGGCCGGCCCTTCCAATTTTTTTTTTATGACAGTTTTCAAACATAAAGAAAATGTGGATGATTAGTACAAGAAACATACATATACCCTCCACCTGGTTTCAGCAATTAGCATTTTACTATTTTGCCATATTTGCCTAATCCTTCATACACACACAGTCACAAACAAATTCACATATATATGTGTGTGTGTGTTTATGAAGGGTGGCAAAATATGCACTCCAAAATATGCCATTTTGGTATAAGGATTATTTTGTGCTAAAGACACCTGAGAAACAGCAGATGTAAGAAGGGCATTCTAATCTACCCTTTTCCTCCTGAAAACAGAAGATGAAAACTCCCATGTGAAAGATGTCCTCTCTGTAACAGGAGTGAAGAAACATGCTCCAAAGGGGAGTCACAGCCCAGAGAATTTTGCACAAACAGACCTTGTTAAAATAACTCTTATCTTCCTTTAGCCTTCCCACCTAATTTAGTTACTTTTCCACAGTTGCTTCTCTTGGTTCAACCTAACATAAAAGCATTTAGGTTTTGCCACTTCTTCGGGTCTACATTTCCTTATGAGGGCTCCCGTGTCACTTAAGATTTATGCTAAATTTGAGTATTTTTTTAATGTTAATTTGTCCGATGTCAATTTATTTCTCATAACCAGCAAAAAAAAAAAAAAATATATATATATATATATATATGTGTGTGTGTGTGTGTGTGTATATGTGCATGTATATATATGTGTGTGTATATATGTATATATATGTGTGTGCATGTATATATATGTGTGTGTATATATGTATATATATGTGTGTGCATGTATATATATGTGTGTGTATATATGTATATATATGTGTGTGCATGTATATATATGTGTGTGTATATATGTATATATATGTGTGTGCATGTATATATATGTGTGTGTATATATGTATATATATGTGTGTGCATGTATATATATGTGTGTGTATATATGTATATATATGTGTGTGCATGTATATATATGTGTGTGTATATATGTATATATATGTGTGTGCATGTATATATATGTGTGTGTATATATGTGTGTGTATATATATGTATATATATATATGTGTGTGTGCGTGTATATATGTGTGTGTATATGTATGTGTGTGTATATATATAATATATATATAAAACCCCCCTAACAGGATAGAGTTAAATTTTTTTTTTTTTTTTTTTAAAGATGACCGGTAAGGGGATCTCAACCCTTGGCTTGGTGTTGTCAGCACCACGCTCAGCCAGTGAGCTAACCGGCCATCTCTATATGGGATCCGAACCCGTGGCCTTGGTGTTATCAGCACCACACTCTACCGAGTGAGCCACGGGCCGGCCTGGATAGAGTTAAATTTTGACTTCCCTATATCTATATACTTTTTTTTTGGCTGAACCATTTGAAAGTTGCAGATGTCATGACACTTCAAGCCTAGATGCATCACATAAATTTCCTAAAAGACCATTATCACGCCTAAAAAAATTAATAGCAATTCTATGATATCATTTTCTCTCTCTCTCTCTCTCTCTCTACTTATTTTAGTGGCTGGCTGGTGTGGGGATCTGAACCCTTGACCTTGGTGTTGTAACACTCTGCTCTAATCAACTGAGCTAACTAGCCAGCCCTATAATACCATTTTAATATTCAATTCATATTCAAAATTCCCCAAGTATCCCCAAAACATCTTTTCTCACTGTTTTGTTTGGAAGCAGGTTCTAATCAAGGTTCACATATCGGCCATTGTGTCCCTTTCACTTTAGATCTATCCTCTCCCATATTTTTTCATGACTGACTTTTTAAATTTATTTATTTATTTATTTAAATGTTTGAAATGTTTACAGTAAAAAGTTTAAAAAGTCATTTTTTACATAATAAGGGACACTTGACTATGGGCTGAGTAACAGATGATATTAGAACGTTACTGTAACTTTTGTTTGGTGGGTAACAGCATGGTGGTTATGAAAAAAAAAAAGTCCACATCAGTTGGACCTGTATGCTGAAGTACTGGGTGAAATAACGTGATATCAGGTATTATTAAATATTCTGGTAAAAACAAAGTAAGTGGAAAGGAATAGATAAAACAACACTGGCAAAATGTTGGTAACTGTTGAGACTAGTGGTGAGGGCATAATGGGGGTTCATTACATTATTCTATTTTTGTGTATTTTTAAGGAAAATTTCTAGAATAAAAAAAATTTTTTTTAAATCTCTCATTGCAAGGAGTAGTCTCAGGATATAATTACATCATCCACTATTGGCAAATGGATTGTGCTTTGTTTTAGCAAGTCCAGTTCTGAGAAAATTCCTGCTTCTGGGATGCCTCCTTTCCCCCCACAGGCACTGTCACTCCTCCCGTGCCAGATGCTACCTCCAGGACTAGCATTCCTTAACTGGCACATTCACACTGGGCCTCGCCTCTGTGTAGCTTAGAATTTCAATCTTCCCAGGTTCCCCAAAGCTGGGTCAACGTCTAAAGACTTCCGGCACTACTGGGCAGAGCAGGGCTGGAGTCTGAAAAAGGGACCTGACGGCTCAACTAAGTGGTCTGACCTCAGGGTTCTGTGGAAATATAGAGGGACTATGCACAGACAGTGCCACAGTGTGAGAGCCACTCAGCTGTCCTCCTAAGAGTGCTCAGAGACATGATGCAGTCACTGCACGCAACAGTGAGAACAGATGGCACAGGGAAAAGATCATGAGGCACAGAGCAAAATGAGTGTAGATTTGAATCCCAGATCTTCACCTTCTAGCTGTGAAAATCAGGAGAAGCACCTAGTCTCAGTTTTCTCATCTTTACATTTTTTGGATAAACAAACCTATTTCATAATACTTGAAAAGGACCAGCCCATGCATGGCACATAAGCACTCACCAAACATTAGCTATTGCTAATATTACAAAATCAGCAATCCACATAGAATGCAATTACTACATCAGACATTATCTGACTTCACAGGCTCTTCAAGTTACCACCAACCCTGGCTGTTAACTTCTTACTCCCACACATCAATCTGCTCCAAGTGTCCATCTCCACACAGTGAACCACTTCCAAAAGTCATTACTCAGGCCTTGGAATCAATAATCCCCGTGTTCTGCTGCCCATTGGCCCTAAAACACTCATCCTACAGCCCCTGATCACAGAGCCCCAACGCCTCTACCCTGACGGTCCTGGCTCTCCATCGATCAATCCTATGTCCCCAATACTAGCTTCCACACCTGTATTACTAGCCACTGTGCATTTCCATCAGCCATCCCCAAAGCCCCAGTCCCACGCACACCTGCACCAGACACTCCTCTCACCACAACACCATGAGGCCTCTACCACTGGCCTTTCCCACAGACCGCTCCAGATGCACTACAGGAACCGAACTGATGAACTACTCTGGGGAAATTCTTGAGTGTCAAGGATAAATTTAAAATCAAAAACACTTCTAAATCTAAGCACATGTGAAAGAACAGATTATTTACAGAGAAAGAATGAAGGAAACCAAGACTCTTCATCCACAGTAAGGAAAGGTAAATGATATCAGAAACAGCACGTAAAAGACCACTCCTCTGTGAGGGCCTGAGAGAGAGACATTTTCAGAAATGAAAACTCTACCGAAAACACCCTTTCCCCTCTTATGGAATGACAGAAGAGAGGGAGGGAGGACAAGAGAAAACCAAGAACTCTCAAGGCAAGAGATATATAATATAAAGAACAACAACATGATGATGTGATAAGGTGGCCGTTAAAGAGGAAAT